CAGTGTCTTTGAATGGTGGGGGGAAAGCCTCATAAGCACAAGGAGAACATGCAGAAAGGCCCAAAATAATTAATTCATCCAAAAACAAAACAAAACAGTAGACTGGCATTGCAAACAGTAATCACTTGAAGCGATTATAAAATAATGTGCTTAAGATAACAGACAGTTTTGAAAAAGGACACCCCTGTGTCTGTGCAGTGGCACCCTGAGGTGAGACATCATTGTCCCACCACTCCCATAATCCTCGTGGGTACTAAACTGGATCTGAGGGCTGAGAAGGAAACCCTGGAGGTGCTAAAGGAAAAGAAACTCTCCCCAATTTCCTATCTTCAAGGACTGGCCATGGCCAAAGAAATTGGTAATGATTCAGTTATCTCTGATAATTTAATGATTAAATGTAATTAATGGAAGATGACAGATTCCAATAATAAACTAGTGGCTTTCCATTTCCTGTCTTCAGGCTCTGTAAAGTACCTGGAGTGTTCAGCCCTGACTCAGCGTGGCCTTAAAACTGTGTTCGATGAGGCCATCCGGGCCGTCCTGTGCCCTCCACCTGTCAAAAAGAAGGGGACGAGATGCTCTCTCCTCTAAGACTTCCTTTACTGGAACAGTTACAGGGGAGCATGACTGCTAGTGGTGAGGGAGAAACACACCAGTATGCACACACAAAACTTCAGTTATACCAACGCAGGGTCAGGTTTACGAGAAGAAGTTGGACTATTTTAGACCCTAATTCTGTCCTAACAATACTGTATAGAGGAGACCATGAATTTCTCGAGGCCTTCTAATATGTGTGTGAATGGGTGGATGACAGGTTGTGTAAAGCGCTTTGGGGTCCTTAGGGACTAGAAAAGCGCTATACAAATACAGGCCATTTACCATTTACCATGTATTGGATGTTTTGTAAGACACACCACAGACTGCCTTCAGCTTTTCCCCCCCACTGTTTGTGTGTGTGTGCTTACAGTCAGTTGCTTAGTTTGTTTAAGTGGAAGTAGGGCAGGGTTACAAAATGATAAATATAATTATTGCAAAATAACTTTTCCTCGTCCCCAACAGATATTCAACAGATATTTTGTCTATTTAAAGTCTAACAAAGTATCTATATGTGAGCCTCACTGCCCATTTCACTGAGAATACTGCACTTCTTGAGCCTGTCTTTTTATTTTTTTAACATTTATTTATTCGTTTATTTATTGCCTTAAAAGACGAGCAAACCAAAGCTGGATGAATGTCAGTCTTATATACTTTTACTTTCCCAGATTTGTACTGAGGATATATATACAGAGTGGGGTTTTGTCTGTTCGGTTGTTAGATTGTTTTCCAACAATTTAAGATGGTTTATATACAAATATATGCAAAAGAAAGTATATGATACAATGTAGTTTGTTGAGATTTTATTTAATAAAGGTACATACTTTTTTAAGTTGGAACTGACCAAAGAATAGTTTGTGTTCTTCTGAAAAAAACTTTAAAGTTTTGAGTGTGTGTGTGTGTGTGTGTGTGTGTGTGTGTGTGTGTGTGTGTGTGTGTATTTCAAGCTTTTACAAGTAAAAAACTTCAAAACCTTTGCTCTGTCATCTCAAAGGTTTAACACACACCTGACCGCCTGCTGCTGTTCATTCAGCTCCACCATATTTAGCACCTAACAAACTTCAGTTTCTCCTTATGAAGGCAGTCGTGTCACCTTGCTGTCAACAAAGAGCTTGAAGTAACCATTTGTGAAGTTTTGTTGCCTCCACTTTTCATGTGCCATAACCTGTTTACACAGAAGTTAGACTGACTCACTTTGTTAAGATGACACCAGGAATATCCGTTTTCAATTACCTCACTT